TGGATTTGATCCTGGGATAGAAATTCCAAAAGTTTAGTTAACAGTAATGTAGCAGTATCGGTTTCCTTGACAAATGCACCACGGTAATGTAAAGTGTTTAACAATGAGAAAAACTGGGGGAGGAATGTACAGGAATGCCCTGTATTACCTTTATAACTTATTCATAAATCTAAAATTATTCCAAAATAAAAATTTGTTTCCAAAAATTCAGTGGTGGATAACAGATGGCACACTTCAGAGAATGTATTAGGACTTGCGGAAGGAAATCTGCAGGTAAACGTTCAGATCATCCTATATGGGCATTCAGTATTTACATGCTTCATGGATTTAAGTATCGTGTCATTACAGCAGATGTTTATACGAGTAGACACAATAAAAGTAAATTGAATGATTTAGTTACACTTTCTCCCCATAATCTTTCTGTGATATTTACTAGTATTTTCAATTCTATTTTTGAAAGTAAGAAAGTGGGTTGGGGGAGGTGGTGTGTGCAGTTTGAAGGGAGCTGCCTCAAGCCAGGAAGAGCTCAGCAGAGAGGAAGTCAGCCTCTATGACCTCCGTTGAGTCTGGCTTTATGGACCTGCAGACTGATGAGCACTGTGACAGCAGGGCCTCTCCAACAACAACCTCCACAGGCATCACAGCTACCATTTTTGGAGAGCACGGTAATGTGCCAGACTTCACAACATGGGTTCCATATACAGCATTACATTTAACCCTCAGCACTGAATGGGGTTATAATTATCTTTTCATTTTACAGATGAGAGATCTGATCATCAGAGAAATTAAATGACTTTGTCAAGGTTGCAACTGAGATTCAAACACCAAAATTTCTGACTTTTCTACTAAATCACCAAACAAGGAAATTCCATTAGGGCAAATGCTTAACTAAATACCTAGTTAGGGTACAATCCTAGTATCATTAATGTTAACCAATTTATTGATATATTATGCATTATATGTTATAAACATCCAGATAATACTGAATTATACTGAGATCATGTATGTGAAAGCATTGTCAAACACTATATTTGATATACAAAATGTTAATTCCCTATCCTTACAAACTACATCTGTTTTCTATTGGCTCCAAGCTCTTTTTTACTGCTTGTGTTTTAGACCCTAGATCTGTGTAAATTATCATGGCAATTTAAAAGTGCAGAATAAACTGGTGCCCAGAGTGAAGTTTAACCAGTCTGCACGGGAATAGAGTTAAATCTGGGGGAATATCAAGTTATCTCAGATTTTTAAAAAATGTATCATATGTCAATGATTCTATTCTGGGGTTAGAAATATAACAGATTTTTAAAAACAGGTTATCCTTTGCCTAGATTATATTATTATAAGCTTTATTAAGGACACACTTGCCACTTGTATACTTCTTTTCTTTTTTTTTTTTTCTTTTTTTTTTTTTTTGAGACGGAGTCTCGCTCTGTCACCTAGGCTGGAGTGCAGTGGCATGATCTCGGCTCACTGCAAGCTCTGCCCCCCGGGTTCACGCCATTCTCCTGCCTCTGAGAGTAGCTGGGACTACAGGCGCCCGCCACCATGCCCAACTAACTTTTTGTATTTTCAGTAGAGACAGGATTTCACCGTGTTAGCCAGGATGGTCTCGATCTTCTGACATTGCGATCCGCCCGCCTCAGCCTCCCAAAGCGCTGGGATTACAGGTGCGAGCCACTGCGCCCGGCCCCACTTTGTATACTTCTGTTTATGAGAGTGATTTTCTGATATCATTATTACAGATTTGTTTTAATTTTTTTAATATGGCCACTTTCTCTTTATGCTCTACTTCTTAAGTTGAATAGACTGTCCCCTCTTGCAAACCACAACTATTATCTGAGGGTTGGTAAATTCTATGCAGTGAGGAAGACTTTTAGTGTCTTACATAAGTCTGAAATTTATCAGCAAGAGCTGAGGGAAAGATTGACAAGGACTAAATTTTTCCAGGATATTATTTTAGAAGGATTGACCCCCAATGAGATGGGGCTAAATGGAAGAGGAATGGGAAATATCTGAAAGAGTATAGTCATCTTTCTCTGTGCTAAAATAAGCAAAGCAATTTAAAGGGCTGCCATCCAATATTATTAGGGAGCCCTGCATTACGGACAGAAGATGGGCTTTGTTACATGACAAACATGCGAGTTTATTATCTAACGTGAACAATGAGCAAGATTCTGCTAAACATGATGGAGAAGAACCACATTTTGCCTGAAAATATCACTTGGTACACCACCAAGAAACGGAACTAACTTCAAACGCAGTGCCACACTACTGCTCTAGCTCAGACTTTGATGACAATAAATGAATGACCTAAGAGGACTCACTCTCTTTGTTCTGGGATGCAGGTCTGAGTACATTCCTAGAGTCCCTTTTATCTAGATGTGTTGTGCAAATTTCACTTAATTAATGCTTCTGAAATAACATTTATTTTGGCATGCACCTCATAGATGGACTTAAACTTGTTTTTCTCTTTATACTCAGTTTGAGCCCTGTCAGCCTTCCCATGAATCTGTATTCTGTTTCAAGCTGGAACCAGGCTAAAGAGCAAAGGTGAGTAGGAGTGAATCCAGAACCTTAAAGGATAAACTTTCCTGAAAAACCACAGGTTAGAAGCACCATCACCACATATTAAAAGTAGAATCACTGCCGGGCGCTGTGGCTCACGCCTGTAATCCCAGCACTTTAGGAGACCAAGAAGGGCGGATCACAAGGTCAGGAGATTGAGACCATCCTGACTAACATGGTGAAACACATCTCTACTAAAAATACATAAAAATTAGCCAGGCATGGTGGTGCGTGCCTGTAGTCCCAGCTACCTGGGAGGCTGAGGCAGAAGAATGGTGTGAACCCAGGAGGCGGAGCTTACAGTGAGCTGAGATTGTACCACTGCACTCCAGCCTGGGCGACAGAGCAAGACTCCGTCTCAAAAAACAAAACAAAAAAAAAGTACAATGACTGAGTTGGTCACTTTTACTTCTAATCCTTTTATTGATTTCTTTAAATCCAAATCATTGGAATGAGTTTTTAAATCTTCAGAGTAACTCCTTTATCCCCGTTTTGAGGTTTCTTTGTTCTTTGGGGTCCCAAAGACACTGTTGAATTTATTTGGCTTACCTTTATGCCATCACTTCCCCCCATTTGACTTAAGAAGTTTCTTCACGTAGAGATTTTATCACATATGCTGAGTAAAGCACTTGCCAGAAAATGTCATCTTCTTGGAAAAACTCAAACCACAATTACCTCCAGCAATGGTGGACAGATAATGCCACAGAAAAGATACAACAGATAATTGAAAGCTACAGATAAGCTTCAAATCTCATTTCACCTAAAAATTTCAAATGTGTTCCCACTCCAAACTGAATTTCTTCAGAGTTGATGGTAAGTTGCAAAATATTACTTGAGATCTGTTATCTTCTTTTAAGAACTGTTAGCTATTTGTTTGGAAGCTTAAAATAAGAAAGAACATAAAACACTGTTCTTTATGATTAGTAACCTTTAGAAGTCAATTTAACTTACATTGTAGCTACACTTCCCATCACAAAAATATATGTCCATCACTTTATGGATCAAATTAGATTATATGCTAGTCTGTCACTTATATGCTCAATTATATTAGAAAATGTAATATGTTGTTTACAGAAGGAAGAAATCTAGAGGTTTGGGGAATTGCTCCTCCTCCAGCTCAGACTTTCCTATCAAAGGAAATGAGTGTAAAGTATGGAAGTGAGAAGGCTGGGGAGAAGCCAAAAGGTATTGATGTCTAAGGAAAACCATGTAAAGGGTTAAGGAAGCTGAAGCAGCTGAGAGAATTAAGAAAGAAAATTCACAGCAAATTCTCTAGTAGATTCAGTGATTAGGCTACCAGGGATATGGCTCCTCACCTCATGCCAACTTCAGATTGTAGAACCCCTGTACCCAACCCTGGGATTATTCTTGGACCTCAGAATTTCCATCCACTAAAGCTTACTTTAGATCAGTCTCAGAAACCAGAGCTCAGAAAAGACCATCCCAGGAAGGCTTTCCTACTATTAGTCCTGCCAGTTTTAACTATTTTCATCTTTTACACAGGTAGCGAGGTCTACACCTAGAGACCATTTGGGGACTGGGTTCATAAGTCTCTAGTTCTACATAAAAGTCATTTATTTATATCAGCATCATTAGCTATTCCCTTGGACACCAGTTTGCCTTGTCTTCTTTGACTTTATTGCAGTTGACTATTGGCCCCCACACTTAGGAAGGAGCCAAGAACCCTAATATCTAACACTCTCATGGTCTTAACTTCTTCTGGCTTATTTTAACCAATCACCTCATAAATTATTATATAGACAGAGATTTAAAGCGGTGATCAGAATGTACCAGAAAGTAAAAAGTGTCCAAAACATACCAATTGACTAGTGAGATGAACTAACAATTAGCTATGTATTCAAAGCAGCATACAGAAAATACATACAATGAGAAGCAATTCATATGTTGACTCAAGTGTAGGTTTCAAAAATAATGGCACCTCATCATCAATGAATCACTTTATCATCACAACGTTCCTGTGGGCCCTTCTCTGACTTTATATAATAGCATAATATCTAGAAGTGCTGAATGTGCCTCTTTGCCACACCTATGTGATGAATGAGGGCAGTGTTTGCTAACGCAGGCTCCAAGAAGAGATTTGTGTTGTCTCAAGAGTTTTCTGGATGGTGCTATACCATTGGTATCACCAACTTTTTGCTTTCCTCATTTTAGGCAAATCTGAGACTAAAGTGGCAAATAAGCCAAGAGTTCCTGACTTGGCATCCACAGCAGAATTTTATTCAGCTGCTTTCCTCTTCCAGTTCCTTTTTCTGTAGCCCATACATTATCACTTGGAGCTCACATGTTACTATGTTTCGCTTCACTTCTCTAACCATGATTTTCAGGCACAAGGATAAATGAATCTACCCATCAAACCAAGGAGGATCAAGAAGCTGAAGAGAGGCTGATCACAAGAAATCAATCCAACTTACAAGCTTCCCGGAGTTTCTCCTTGTCATAGTGGAATCCTTCATAGTCTTGCAAACTGATTTTGTTCACCCGGATCCTCAGACGATCTGGGACAGACTGGGGACTGCAAAACAAGAACCGAGTGATCAGATACAAATGAGAGAGTGGAATTGGTAGCCATGCACCTGAAGGACTAAGGGCAATCTTATCTCTTCATGTTTAGAAGTAAGAGTTCACATTCAAACTGGAAAGGTGGGTTCCTTATCAGAATTGAACAGTGATCTGGAGAACACTTCTCCAGAAACCAAAAGTTGCTGGAATTTAGGTAAGAATATGGAAATATGCAGAAAGAGCCTTTGGAGACCACTTTTATATCGTATTTTCTGTTGAGGTTTTAAAACATTTAATAAGATCATGTGCTTGTTACATAATAAATTAGATTCAGCGAACTGAAATAGTGGGAGGTGGACTGGAGCTTTAAGAACCACAGACAGGTATGCACATCACAGTAAGACATGGTCAGGGGCAGCCTGACCCTCAGAGAGATGGAAAAACTATCTTTAAAAAGCAGACTAAGAGTCCAGAAGCCACAGGGCTGAGACTGAAGTAGCTCCACACAGCTCAATAGCCTCTGACAGCACCTCTCAGTCAAAGCATAATACAATAAACACTGCTTGTGATGGTGGCTCTGAGCATTCCAAAATGAAGAAAAATGTTTAAATATATATAGTGTTCTTTCTTTAGGAAGATAATGAAATGTGTAACTCATTTTGAAAGAATTCAATGAATACTGACTCCAGACACATGTTAAGCAATAAAATGGTGCAGTACCACTTTCTGAACATCTATTCACTCCCTAAATGTCTATAACTCGACTCCTTGATTTTCTTAAGCAATATTTTGAAAGTGGTTTAATCTTGGTCACTAGTTGAGTGAAATAATCTGGCTTCCATCACCACCACGATGGATCAATACATTTCTTCAATATATTAATATAACACAACACCTACTTGTCTTCGAATACTACCTTATACTGGGATTTCATTGGTTGAGAGAATTTTCTCAGACAGAGGCTTCTCTTTTTTTATATATTAAATGGTGATAAAAGTCGCCACTGACTAAAGTCATTGACTAAAGTAGAAAGAATGGCATTATTCTTTAATTTTTCCTGTAAAGGAGGAAAAGGAAGGAAAGAAGGAAACAGAGAGAAATAAAAAAGAGAGAGAAAGAGGGAGGGAGAGAGGAAGGGAGAGAATGAGGGAGGGAAGGAAGGAAAACAGGAAAGTTAAGAATAGATGAAAGGAGGGAGTACTGTGTCTACAATATTAGGACACCCCTCTCTACTTCACTTCAAACACACACACACAGAAACACAGACACACACTCATTTAATTTCAGTAAAACTCTGGAAGAGGGAGTAAAAAAATCTCATTCTCTTGTCTAAAGCCTCATTTTAGTGCAAAGTATAGTAACTCCCTCCATATGGAATCCTACTTTACTCACCCAAAATAACACATACATAGCAAACTATAGATACATATGTGCACACTCACACATGGTACATTCTCTCTCTCACACACACACACACACAGTGAGACAGAGATTTAAACTGTGGCTATTTAAAAGTGTAGATATACGTGCACAAATTCTAAAGAGAGATGGTAGACAGGTAAAAATGTCTGAGGTTCACTGGCTTAAAAAAGTCAATATAAAACTACAGAGATGGATATTTCTGGGGGAAATTTGAAAAGACAGATTCAACAGCTATATTGATCCATCACTCAAAGTGTGTTTGTTGAGTATTTACTTTATATTACCATCGTGCTGGACATCAAAAAGGTATTGATGAATAAAGCCGAAGCATTTAAGTTGTGGTGGGAGATATAGCTTGACAGTATATTTGTAGATACAGACCTTCAGTTAGCAGAACAGACCTTGAATATAATGAAAACTCACAACATCATTTACAGGTAGGGAAAGTGAGGTTCAGAAAGATGAAGTGATTTTAAGGACACATAGCTGCTAAGCAGCAGTGCTAAATGCAAAGCCTTGGACCCTTCACTCACCAGTTTCATGTTCTTTCTCTGCTCCTCTGAGGAGTTCAGACTCTCTTGTCAATGAATAAATACCAAGAATCCCATGGATTTGACAGCAAAGCTATAAAGTCTGGATTAGTGGAGTCTGATGATCTCTGCGTGCTGCTCAGATTTCTTTCTTTACCAATAAACAATCATCAGGCGGGATGGTTAAGTAAACCAGAGAACACTGGGCAGAGAGTACAAATGAATGTGTAGGTCTTTATTCATTTAGAGGGAAGTATGGCTACAACATGCTGTGAAGTGAAAAAAAGTCACGAATAATTATATATGGCATAAGCTCCTTCATATCAATTGTGGACTTTAGGAGTTTGTATATGCAAGAGAAGTGCATGGAGACATGTCCAACGAGCTGTTGCAAGTTGCTATCTCTGTGTGGTGAAGCCTGGGCATTATTTTATATCAAGTATAATTTTTAAGGAACTAATATCATTTTAAAGGCATGTCCACATGTAAACAAACAATAATGCAGGACAAGAATAAAAATAACGCCTATAGCAAAGAGTGTTAGGAATTAGATGCAAGTAGGGAGGAAAAAATTTATGCAATTAACACCACACAGTGTTCACATTAGATTTTTATCACCAAAAGTGTCTAATAATCCCTTTATTTCCAAGTTCACTCAACTGATCTGCAAAGATTGTAACTAGAAAATATTTTCCTGCACACATAGCAGATAAGAGGGAAGCTGGAACCATAGAATGTAGTGGCCTAGCAGACCCCAAAAGGAGAAGTTGAGTGGGGGCAGATGTTGAATGAACTCTATCTAAGCAATTTTTTGAGATAACAGTAAATCTAATGGCAGTGGGCTTCAGTCTTCTCTACTGAGCTGGAGGTATCAGGACTAAGACCTCACTTGAGCAGTACTTGCAAATGGGAAACGAGATTTGGAGAATGACTGCTAACCAGTTCCTGGGCCCTGCTTCCTAGAGCTCCCCGATTTGGGGCTTACCAGTGTGTATCACCTTTCTCAAAACCCATAAAGTGGCTGCTCCCTGTCCACATGCATCTACCTCCCAGGTTTTCATCTATGCCCTCTGATTCCAACCCATGCACTGTTGTCTCCTGAACCTCTGGACACCCACTACTCTATCCTAACTTCCAGGGGGCACACCATGGCATAAAACAGACACTATTATTTGAATCAAACTTTATAGATCCTAAATGAATTCACATATGTTCTCAGTTCATCTCCAGAATGATCAGCTAAGCAAGACAGAAGAAAACAGAGACTCTCTAACCACCGCTTAACACTTTCTCCCATCTACCTTCCTACACATTCGCTCCCTTGCTCTCAGCTCCCATCCTTCCTCAACAACTTGCAACACTTCCCACTTTCCCACTAGCAGCAGCTTACTTAAACCCAGTCTTCTGGGCAGGGTATCTGTTTTCTTTTTTAATCTCCTATTAAAAGATGTCCCAGTTGAGACTCATCAGCAAATTTTAGGGCATTAGACCCTAGGGTCAATAACGGAAAACCTTGAATCATTTGCAACCGTGGTGTAAACAGCAGGTATGGGAGGCAACACAGCAAACTGGTGAGGAGCTCAGGCTCCAAGTCAGATTGCCTAGATTTCAAGTAAAATTCTCCCAGTTCCTAGTTAATCAGGAAACTCTGAGCTTCAGTTTCCTCCTATGTAAAGTGGAGATGATAACAGTATCCACCTCATAGGCATATAAAGAGAATTAAATGAGCTGATACATGTGATATGCTTAGAAAAATGCCTGGCACATTGTCAGTGCTCAATAGATTTTAGCTATTATCATCATAATAATTACTCTGAAAATTGTTCTCCTAGATAAGGTCCTACCTAATACTCAACAGCATATGCTGCTTCTGCCAGATACTGGAAGATGTTTAGAGCACATAAAGGAACCTCCCTAAACATATCTGACAAGGTGCTGGGCTTCCTCTGGGGGGAGATTGTCTAGCTTGGCTGGGGACATGACATTTTACACTTCTGGGTCCTCTCCCACCTAGTATTTTTAAAGGCCAACTACAAACATGAAAACAGACAGCTAGAACATGGGGGAGTGGAGGGAAGTACATAGAGATTAAATGAAAGCCAAGTCATTCATTTTCGTACCTTTATGTCAAAATATATTAGTGTCCCATTAATGGCTGACTGAAGGCAGAGGATGACAAAGCTGTTCTTTGGAGTCTGTGGAATAGCACTGCCATTAGTTTGCTAAAATTAAATTTTGTCTGGGAAGTTAGTAGAGCACAGAAGAGACAAACAACCTGGGTAAAAATAAATTTGCCTTCCTGCCAACATCTGCCACAAGCTACTGCCATACTGATTAGGCTCTGGATCAGGGGTTCTAAACCTGGCTTCCATGGAACATCTCAAACTCCCTAGAAGAGATTCAGCAGTCTGTGAATTCCCTTTCATATTGGGATAATGGCCTAAATCTATCGCCTTCTCACCAAGGCAACAGGTTGAGGTCACTACCCCAATTCTCTGCAACACTGTGATTGAGATCCTTATGCAGAGTGGAAGTTCATGACTCTGGACTTAATTCCCAAATGTCTCCCATGAGCACTTTCTCAAGAACCATAATAAGAGTACTTGTTGAATCACTCGGGTGGGTTTCCAATAACCTCCATGCCACAGCTTCCCTTATCCATGTTATACACACCTTTTACCCTGAGATTTTGCAAGGGAGGTGGACTGACTTTCCATCAACACAACTCCCTGAACACTCACTGCTATTCAGTTTACACCTAAATTTTGCTATTCTCTGCTCTCCTGTAGATGTTGCCATAGCTTCTTTCTCAACTGTTCCCATGGAGAATTTCAATCCATCAGAGTCATATTCCTCCCTTGAGCCCTCAAATGTCTTCCTCCTTTTGATCAATTTCTTTAGTACACACCATTCCTCTCAGACTGATAAGAGATGCCTCTCATCCAATCTCTGACCCAGGCCTAATCTCTTTATGGATAAAGTGGATGGGCTGAGTGTTTTGGTTCTCCAGGGTCACTTTCAAACCACGAACTCCATTAACTCATTCTGTCACTGGAAACAT